TCAGCAGTCCACTTATAGTGACTAGTCTATCAACTTCATCAAACGAGCCTTCTAGTGTTTCGACGTCATTGGACCTCGTCACGAATGTTAAGTTGATCGAAGATGCACAAGGTTGTGCAACTGTAACTGTTCCTATTCCGGTTGACTGTCAGTCGAGTGATGATGAGAAGAAAGTGTTTGATGGTAACAGCCAGTCTACAGTGTTGTGTGATGACGATGCTATTGATGAGCATATGTCTTGTGTCTCTGGGACGGATGCTAATGCAGACCGAATCGACGCGACTTGTCTGACAGAACGGAATCATAATAACGATGATAATAATCTGGATGTCACTGATGTGACAAATAATTTGTCGACGTTGACGAATGCTGATCAAACCTCTGCACCAGGAGATGGAGAGTTGAATATTGTTCCAATATTATGCCACCTAGAGTCTTCAGGAGACGAGGAAACGTCAAAATCGGAGATCCTGCCCTTGCATATTATCTATGGGTCAAGAACTTCTGTTGATAAGTCAGCATCACGGGCTTCATCGTATCTGCTGTTTGGAGCAATGGTTGGTGGATTAACGACTCATCCCCATGAGGTGGAAAGTAAATCTCTAAGAGGATATGACCAGCTTTACGACGTGTTGCACATGTTCGTGTGGGTGAATTGGTTTATACTACCGTTAGGTCATGCTACGATAGATAGGGGAATCAAGGACCTGATGGGAATGTACAGGTTCATAGTTTGATAGGTCATATCCATGTTGGAGGGCGGGTAGGCGTACTGCTGTAAGTCCTACTCGTTCTTCCGGTGTGGATTAGGGGGTGAGAATGAACCGTAAATTGAAGTGTTAGAAAGGGCTTGTTTTGCTTAGAGGGATATTGTGGGCCGGTGTAGAATTTATATTGAAAGTTTGTTGTTGATTGCTTGTGATGCACATACTTGGATTGTTGTTATCTATTTTTGTCGGTGAAAAGAACCAAGGTTCTTTTGGTCGGGAGTGTTACGGGAGAAACGAAGACATTTTGCTGATCAAAACCTTCATGTATAAATATCATTAATTTCACTGTTTTTGGGTATATTTGTTTTACTTAACTTATGAACTTGTTTGAATTATTATTTGCGGACATATTGGACTCCCGTTTCTCTTTGTTGTTCGTTGCAGTTTTTTGCTCCAAGAGATAATAAATTAGAAGAACGACATTGGTCGTCTAATTGTAATAAAGTATTTTGGTCGAAATTGTGATTTGGAATAAACTTTGGTATCTACTTTGGAGTTTCGTTCTTGGTTTAGAAATTTGGGACCGTGAATTACAAATAGACGACAACAGTGCTTCGTAAGATCAACGAGCAAAAAACTGGACGTAACAATATGATATGTGGTATTTTTAGACTCGTCTGATTTGTTTCATCTGTGGTTTTGCTTACCCGTTTACAGCATTCGATCCTAAAGTAATGATAGTTTTGTATAGATTCTAGGCCACTCTACCCTCCCTTGAACTAACAACTTATGGATTTTCGGAGAACGCTGTTTGACGTACACGTTTCTTACACTGTGAAGTATGCAGTAGGACATTTATCAGATGTTTGGACTCTTCTTGTAGTATACCTCAAATGAAAATTTAAGCATTGTTCTTAGTGGTAAATTATGTAGGATGCTTTTCGAGTATTTTTGCATTAGTTGATGTAAAACTGTCTTTTTATCTATTATGTGATTGTAAAAGGTATTCACTTTAGTGTAAAGTTACTAATTTTGGTGCCTTCATCTATAAAGTCACTATTTGTTCAGATCCGCATAGGGCTAGAGTCGTTCATTTTAACTATATATTTAGTTTTTCTTCTATCCCTAACCAACATATAGTTCATGACAGACTGTCTTAGTTTTGTCATACTCAATTTCTGCACTTTAATGATAGTAATATTGAATGGTTGTATTCCGATTTATCTCGTCTTGGCCCTCGGGACTGATAGTCGCTAAAGAGGAAGATCATTATTCCTACTTCTTAGGAAGCATATCACAGTTAAAAACTTCTGTCACCCATCTTTTGAATTAACTGACGGATAATACTTCGTGTAATTCCAGAATTTCTGCATAATTATCATCTTGTAGTCGATTGCTCGCCTTTGAAGTAAACTTAACTCATTTATCCTCATTTTTGGAAACCTGTCACGTGTATAGGCCCGCTTAAAACTATTCAAGTATAGCAAAGTTGCACTTTTTATACGTATGTTTATCAATCTAATAACATTTTATCTTGAGTAACAGTATGTTATGAAGGAAATGCCAATTTACAGGTAAGATCAAATTGTTACAAATGTCACCTTATTTACTGTAATAGGTCGCTCGGTTAGACCATTATTTATACTATTTTTTTACATACAATTTTTGCCATTTTACAGACATGATCAATTTCGTACAACATCATTTACAATAAGGATTCACAAAAACGGTAGGTACTCAGCAGTTTTTAGGTGATTTCCATAATTTAGGAGTGATTCAAGAGATAGTGTATATATAGATTCACTTGTTAGATGGAACAGGTTATTAAGGTCATATTTGTCAGATGGCGCTTCGTGTAGGCTGTTTTGTTGACGAAATCATACTTACAGAGCATTCTGAGTATATGAAGTGACTTCATCGTCTTTCACTGATGATAAGCTTCTGAAAACAAACAGGAGAGAAAAAGAAAAGGAACAAAGGTACAATTTAGTAATTGAGTTCCTGTGTTTCAGACTGGGTGTTCAAATCTTGATTACGTGTCTCCACAGAAGGTTAAAACAAAGCTACCGATGTTCTGGAACTTTTAATGTTACTTTTTATCAAAAATAAAGTTGTTTCGGGTATGATGTCTCAGTCTGATTGCCATACAAAGTCGTTTTTACCAATCACTATATTTTACCCAAGTGAATCGTTTGCATAACTAAAAATCGGACAAACCTTGTGTTATACTTAGACATCGCTTTTAATTATTTTCGGAGCGTAGAAAGTTGAGGTCTTTTAGATTACGACCTAAGCAGCAAAATAATCGAAAATTCCTTCACGCAGCACAAGCTTATACGTAAATCACGTCTCACAGACAGAAAAAAATGGTTGTAACTGTGAGTTTAACAAGATTAAAACCCCCAAGATAATAAATTAAGTGAGTGAAACCGATAATGACTAGGGCCAAAATCAAGTTTAAAATCTGATCAAAACAAATAAATTCAAAGCGCATTAAGCAATTTGGTGTTTACGATAACAGTTGACAGTTAGATATTTTAAAATCCTCCTGTAAATACTAGCATTTTCTATAAAACTAAAATTTTCGAGCGCATGCACAGCAGTTCAATATTTTCTGATAAATTCGAATTTTCGTAGATTCTATTTTAGACACAGCAGTTTCAAAAAACCTAAATCCGACTTAGAAACACGACTGCAGAGTGCATCATACCCCCTGGCTATGCCTTTATATAATAAATGGACCGCCAAATGTGATCTCTTTAGGATTAAGTGAAGTTTTCCCAAAAGCATTTCCCTTTTGGAGTTTTAATGTGCTCTTTCTTGTCAAGAACATCGTCAGCCGAGATTGCCCTTCAAACTTCGAATCTCAAAAATAGAGTTCCACTTTGTACAGCAAAACAAGCGATCATGTGATTACGACAAATAGTTCTGACTATTGTCACGAGGACAGAATAAAACGCCAAAATACCATAACATCACCCTATTTTTAGGACCGTGCCCCCATAATTAAAGGTGATAAATAAATTATCTTCCTCTTATACTCATACTAATCTTGGTAATAAAATACAAGTGTGGATTAAATTCATAGAGTTTATTTCAGACCTTTATATATTCAAAAACTCAGTAAGGCCTGCTACATGAAGAAGGCTTTTCAGTCTGCTTAAAAATATTACTCACCAAAAACGTTAATGTAGTATGAAACACAATTTGCGAACAGTGATCTAACGATAACTTTATTATTTCTCACTATGAGTGTTGAGTAAATGGTCCGTTCTTTTACTTAATGTCTTGGTGTGTAAGCATGCTACTTCGTATGCTCTATTGACCGGAGAATTACAATGGGGGGGGGGAGACTGTCAGCGTGTCACATAAAGTATTATCGAAGTCTTCTCCAACTGCTGAAAGTCAATTTTTTAAAGAATATGAAGTGGATGTGTAAGCACTAGATGGTTGCACCATCTCTCACTTACTGATTCCTAGAGAAAACAAATTTGTTGCTCTCTCATCCAGGATGAGTTGCACAGATGGAATAATAGTAGCCATCTGTTAACCATTTGAAGCGGTACAACGTGAAACAGATTTCTAGTTGTGGTCAAGCAGGTTCACAATACTCGTGCTATACAGAAAGTAAAGGTATATATGATTCCGGTTTGGAGACCTGTCACCTAAAGGAAGCATCAAAGAATCTTCATTATTAATTGCCAAAAAAATGTGAATGACTTTGACCATGTTCGTGACTCGCGCAATAGATAAGCAGACTTATTATCAAGTGATTTATTGACCGAAATTGGGGCTAATTATACCAACTGTATATTTAGTGTCCACCTTGACTATTCCTTTGACAAAAAGTCCAAAAGTTTACCTCTATTCGTTAGAAAACAAACTAACAATCAGAGAAGGTCGCCTGAACTGTTTCACAACTGAGGGCTCAGATTATTTTCCCTATACCTGGAGCACATAACAACTTTCCTCATAAAAATTTCATCTTTTTTTTCGTGTCTTCCTAAAATTTATATACAATATCTCGTATTTATGTTAATAAACTTTTTGATTTCGAGGTCGACTTAAACGCGGTAAACCGACTGTACAATGCCGGTACGATAGTCTTTCAATTTTTTCCAACTAGTTAGAGGCAGCGTTCATACACTTCAACCGAAGAGAGGAAGGGGAGGTCGGTCCACAAAGATTTTTTCAATAAGCAATACAAATCTTTGAAAACTTATATTAGAAGTAGTTTATATTGAGAGCGCGATATTATGTTACAGGTGCCGGCTCCAATCCTGTTCTCAACTCAGGTACGTGTTCATCACAAAGTCCCGGTTTACCTGGATCTCCTGCTTCACTTGGCATAAAGAAAAGTGTTTTTTATCAAGATGACAACGGGAAAATTATCAGTTTATCTAAATCAAGAAAATCTAATCATTCTGTTAGTTTGTGATTCATAGTTATAAAGTGTTTCAGGATGGGAGTAAGCTGATTTCTGATTCTAAAAGTAGATTGATTTTGGATCTGTCCTCTTTGGGGCTTGTCAGCGTATCTTCGGATATTGGGAGTCTCAGTCATTTAATTGAACTTTTTTTGTATGACAATAAATTAACATGTCTTCCTTCACAGATCGGACTTTTAAAAAACCTTCAAAGAGTATGGTACCATTTTTCAAATTTTTATTCTTAGTTATGGCTGCAGGAAAACTCTCTCACATTTCTACCGGATGAGCTCGGTCGCTGTTCAAAACTAACTCATCTTGATATCAGACACAACAGACTTGAAGGTCCCACTCCTGTCGTGTTAACAAAGCTTATCTACATGAAACAACTGTACCTAACTTACAACAAATTGACAGACATTTCTGCTATCGGTAATCTATGCGTAGGTCGAGGCTTGTTATCTTCATTTCACATAAATGAATATTGTATGATATTCCGCTTGGACTCTCTTTTTTAGTCTTCTCTTTCCATTTGTCAAAGTGTTTGTTTAAGATAATATGGTATTGCAGTTGATCTAACAGTTGCCTTTGCTTTTCACTATGGAAAGCCTAAAAGTGGTAATGTATGTGTTAATCAAGGAGGTGAAAAGTTTATTAGTTGATAAAATTTTCTGTTTAGGGCACCTGCAAACGGAGCTATAAACATATTTTGGAGCCCGTAGCAAGCTAACAAGTAATTAGTTCTGGAAGTTTGAACATTTCTGGAGTGTCCTCATAGATTCTTTGTTTTTTAAAGCGAACAATTTTAGGATATTAGATGCCAAGTCGCCCTTGAGTGTGTGGAAGTTTCCCTTTTGTCTGATAAATGTGGAAAATTGATTATTGCATCATCGAGATCCGTGAAATCAATTGATATAGAGTCTTTGTTTACATTTTTAAATCGCTTACTACTCTCTGAGGACAAACTAACTGCTTGTACTTAATACTGGATTTCCGGTTAGACAAACACTGTATACTATGTATTAAATATCCCGGTGGCATAAACCCCCTAGTATTGACCATAGGGTTCTGAAACCCTATAAAACAACTTTGTGACCGTTGTTTTCGAATTTCTCCTGAAAATAACCTTAACATCATTGTTTTGTCTAGAAAAAAGGTGACTGAACGCTTTCTATCATTTAATTATGAGTTGATGGTATTTATGTACCATAACGCATTTAGATCAAGCTACAAGCCAAGCTACCCCGAGTTTTGCAAATAAGTGAGAAGCTCTGCAATATATATATATATATTTCTCCATATTTTGATATTTTCACCTTTCAAGAAGACTAACGACGAAAACACCTGGGAAGATCATTGACATGCAAAATAAATAAAACTAATCCTAAGATCGAACCCTACGTTACTCTAGTAAGCTGAGTTTGTGAGCCAGACATCTTGAAGTTATCCGATGCTCACTGTTCGGGCCCAACTAAAAGGTCATTCATCCACAGAAATAATTTCCCTCTTATTCTGATGTCGTTCTACTTTGGTAACAGTCTAGTGTTAGGAACTGTCCGAGAACATATTGAAGTCAGTGACAGGTTCATCTACAGTCAGTCTGTGATCTTCCAGAGCGCCAACACACTGATAGGTTACGGTTTTTGTAATCAATTTACTTTAAACGTCCCTCTTTTTAAGATGCAAACAAAGTTTTAGGGCAAAATGACTTTTTTATAATGTGTGTTTAGCACTATGACGGTTTTTTATCTGCTTCTGTACTAGATGTATTTTCCATAGCTTAAAAACAATTAGTTTACTTTAGAATACCAGTTTAGCAGAAGTTGGAATGACTTTGTGATACAGTGTTATCATCTAAAGTTTTATAAAAATAATAAGCATAAATGGCAACCAGAAAAAAGTTGGTATAATAGATCATGGGCTTAGTCTTACAGACTTTGGGCTGCTGAATCTCTATCTGTCAGTACTAAACGCAGCAAATTCAAGATCATATTATGATCCTTGTGGGTTTAACATCCACTTATTTAAGTCATATTGAGCCGTGCATTCGTAAGAAAAGCCTATTTCATTTCATAACCTTTCATTTTTTGAGTTAAAGTCACCAATGCATCGTCATAGATTGATAGATTTATGATCGGGCTTCTAAATACTAGTATTAAATACAGTGCATATACAATCAGTCAATGAAATTTTTTGTTTAACACCTTTCGCTATTGGAGTTGAAATACTTTTACAAATAATAGATCTTAAACGACATCCGATTCTAATCTCGAGTGTGGTCAAACTCCGTAAATATTCTAGTTTAGACGCGTTTTCACATGCTAAAAATGGTAGTTTGTACCACTTTTTTAGATCTTATTTATTTTTGAGCTGTTTAAGATGACTGCTGCTCGTAACATTGAGAGGTTCTGAAACGATAGAAAAGATATACGGTACATCTGGAAGCTTTCGGAGGCCCTTGTTAGACAAACTATTCTCTAGAACTAGTATATTTCTTCTTTGAAGAACGTCTTCACATTGAATAAAAACCCCCTAAATATTTAGTTAACCAACACTCAATTGTTTGACGTTTTTGACTGTTTAGTAATTGTTCACATTATTGAGTTAGTCATTTTATTCATGATTTTGACTACAAAATATCTTGTTGTTCAGTTTTTACAGACATTGGTGGTGAAAAGTAACCAGCTACAAGGACCAATTCCAGATTGCATTGGCAATCTTACTCAGTTAAAAACTCTGGACCTTTCGAAGAATCGTTTGACAAAAATTACTGAAAGTAGTTATTTTGATCATTTGTGTAACCCATTCGTTAACCAATTTTTTGCTCTGTAGATAAATGATCGCGGAGTATCTGCATGTAGTCAATTATTTGCCTTCGGAAATTTGTAGACAACCGAGAGGTTTCATTATTATCTGGTTTTTTCATCATCTGCACACCTCGATGAGTTTCATGCATATCTGCAAAAAAGATTTTAATCTCTTTGAGTTTCGGATAGATTACATTAGTTGATTAATTAGTTTGTACTCAAACTGAAGATATTTACATGAGTAAAAAAGGCATTGTCCAGTGAGCGGTAATCCATGTTCTGAACTTTAACGATTAACACCAGCCATTCCACCTATGGTCACTAAAGAAAAGTGACGTAGCAAAAAAATCCAACACTGAAATTAGAAACTATTTATTTTGCGCAGGAAAACAAAAGTCCAAGACTATGGAGTCCATGTTGCGAGGCCATATATTGTCACCGCCAGCCACTCAGCCAGTTAAAACCTAGAACTTGGTACGTACGTACAGCAGTACAGGTTGCCAGACCACATTAGTGCAGAGACGTAACCGTCAGTTCAAATCCCATATTGGTATATGTAGTAGAAGTATTAGCAGTAATCGAAAATTTTAGGGTTCTACGATACTATTCAAGAACTAAAGTCTAGTGAAATAAACTTTAAAAAGTGATGAGGAATTCAGAAGATCATAATTTGGGAGAACACAAAGAATGAATGCACCTGCGCCATTGCAAACGATTTCAAGCCATGTCATTCAATGTCTCTAACCATCGATTACTGTCATCTCGCGGATCCCAACGAGGTAGCCTACATCTACCAACATGACTCAGTCCACTTGTCAGTGAATTTATGGATTTCTGCCATGTTTTGATCTGGCCGCCCCTAGCTTTCATCCAACCTATTCCTATATCGCAAGACATAGCTCGTTGAGGCAGTCGGTGGTTAGGCATTCGTAACATATGTCCCACTTTAATGCTCAAGTAGGTAGACTATGTGAAAATGAAAGACACCTAGGTGGATGTTATGTTTTCGCTGCTCAGAGAACAGAGAAGGGTGACCGTCTGTTGCAAATATGCTCAGAAAACCGCCTATTCTTAGCAAACACTAACTTTAGGCATAAGGAAAAGCATCTCTTGACCTGGCGACCTCCAAAGTCGTCTCAACGTTGGACGCAACTAGATCATATCGCTATCAGCCACCGATGGAGGGGTTCGATAGAGGACTGCCGCTCGTTCTGGGGCACATGTTTGGATTTAGATCATGCCCTAGTGCGAGCTTGTATTTGTTTGAGGCTTACTGGACGTAGGAAAGACGCCGTAAGGAAGCCTCTTAGGGCTTTACTTGATGATAATCAAGCTAAGAAAATATTTCAGGAGGAACTAGAAAAACAGTTAGGTGACCATGCAAGTGATTCCCATCCGAAGTCAGGTTGGAATGATATCAAGAAGGCTGGGCAAACAGCAGTGATATCTGCTAGGAAGGTAAACCATAAGGCTAGGATGAAGCCTTGGATTTCAGTCGCATCCACCGAACTGATGGATGCTCGAAAACGCATCCCACCTGACTCTGAACATGATGGAAAACGAAGTCAGCTTAGGCGCAGACTGATAAAAAGCCTACGTAACGACCGCGAACAGTGGTGGGTGGCGAAAGCAAAAGCGATGGAAAAGGCGGCGGCGATCGGCAACAGTAGACAACTTTTCCGACTTCTCACGGAAACTGGTATTAGGAATCCTAGTGTAAGTGAGACTATCTCTAGTCTACATGCCTGAGGATTGAAGTCATCAGTCACTAATAATTTATCAATGCACTCAACGTTTTAAGAAGGTCCTTACAGTCGCGTTTATTCGGACAGCGCATTGGTGAGATTCTCCTGGGATCCAGTCTAAAAGAGCTACTTCTGCCCTGGGACTCAATGGTATACCTACACCAGAGAGGGTGTGGGAAGCAGCAGTGTGGTTTATAGATAAACGAAGCGTAAACCGAGTCGGTTCTTTATTTGGAGATTCGCATTGTCAAAGAGTTCCGTGTTAGTACGAAATCCCGATCCAATACTTCCAGGTTTTCAAAGGTGGTCTTGCTAAAATCAGTTCAGAATTTGATCTATGGGACTTTCGAAAATGACACAAATATCCCTGTATTAAAAATAACATTTCCCTAATAAGACAGTGCAGTTGTTTAGTGATCGATAATATATATATATATATATCTGTTCAATCAAAAATATTGTCTTTCTAAGCATTTTTATTTTGTTCAGTTTGTTTTTTGTTTTCATGGAAAAAATTATTTTTATGGTGAAACTGTTGAAATTCAACGGTATTTTGTCAGTTTAGATTTTCTGAGTGTATAATGAGCTGATAGAACATTCAGTTAATGTTTGGATAGACATCAATTTTTTTTGAATGTAACTTCATATTTATCTTTTCTTTTGTTGGATATTAACTTACTAAACTTACTTTCAGGTAGATATTTTATACTTTAGTTATGTACTTAAAAACTTTATGTAGTTTAGATTCAATTCTGATCAGTATATTGATGACGGATTCATACATCAAAATGAAATAATTAGGCAACAACTACAAAATATGTAGTTGATTTCTGCACTTATCTCACAGGAATTGAATAACAAACAAATATACAATTATATATATATATATATATATATATATATATATATATATATATATGTCATATCTGTTTAACCATCGTCTACTTCGACAGATAATGTCAGGTTGGAACAAATCTGCAGCCGACAAACTAAAAACTGGCATCTTCCTATAGGTTTTAAATTCACGATTTTCTTTGTATATATCTGTTAATTGCCTTTTTGAATCATATTTTGATGTTTACTCTTTCGCCTTATCATCCCTATGATGCTATATTTCGATTTATTTATCACTTATCTTAAATTTATCTCGTCATATCATTTGAGTATGGGGACTTGAGCCAACGCACATAAATTCATGTTTCTAGGTTGATCATGGCTAACCAACTGACTGATTGACAATGAAAAAGGAAAATCTCCACGTAAAACTTCATTTTAAAGGTGATATAAAGAGTGATATTCCAACCTATTTAGCAGCTAAATTGCACGTTACACTTTCAAATAAGCTAACAGTGGGCATAATCTTTATTGTCTGTTATCATAGTGGTTTAAGATAAATAAATTGGAAACTTAGCTTTTTACACTCATTTTTATTTAGAAATTTTAATTCCCATTTCAATGACTGGAATATGAAATAAACACTTCGCTGAATTTCATCAGTTCTTTTTATATTAAAGATTCCATGAAGATGGATTTATAATAACAAGATGATAGCTCATTCAAAAACTGCATAATTAAAATTACTGATTTATAGAGTAGTACACTGAAATTCTAAAGATATTCAGTTTCATAAATGATGTTTTTTCATAATCTTTAAAAATACATGCCTATTAAGATTACTGTTTGTTAAACAAATATAATGTCATCTTATTGTTTAAATGTGTTGAAAATGTTGACAATTTTTTCAGTAAGTTTTCTTTCTGATTTTCACTAAGGTCAATAAATAATTATTGTCAACTAATTATTATTCAACTAATTAACTGATCAATTTAGACGCGTTATTCACAATTATTGATCATATTAAATTGTACAAGGTCGATGCATTGGATGAATTGATGTATTTCCGGAAAATTGAATTTATTTTCCATCTCTTTAAATATTTGTTTATACATTTGGAATTTTATTTCAATACATTGACATTTTATGCTAGTAAATCATTGAATCAAAAGGCATAATCACTTTCCAATTTTTAATCTAAATAAGTATTAAATTATAATATTTGATATTGTACTACATACTCTATTCAATGCTTTATAAACTCAGAAAATGTGCATAACTTTGAATGTGTAGTGCTGGTCAAGCTTAAATAGAATGTCAGCTGAAGTACATATAACTACTTGTTAGATAAATACAAGAATACAGTTTTCTGCCCATCACATTTGATAATCTGAACCATTCAGAGTATAATTAATCAGGCTGAAAGATTCAAGAGTCTTATAATGAAAGGCAAGCTAAATGACATGTTTACAGTTACTGCCTTATTTCACCCATAAAATTTATCTTTAAACTTATGAGATGAAAAATGTTCTTTTACACAATTTACAGAGTAATAACGAATAACAGTATTGATAATATCACACCTTGTATTGGTTTTATCTTGCATCTTACAAAAATCAATACCAGATTAAGTAATAGAGTTACATTACCGATCTTATTGATTTCATTCATGACAAAATTATAAGTCTTATTGTTTCCAGTTTTATTTCATCTCATATGTGTGTTTTCTGATGAAACAAACTGAATAAAAAGGCTAATCAACTGACATACATGCAGTTGTGTAAGTTTTACACGCAACCTAAATAGAATACAGAAAAAGGTGATTTGAGAGTTTATTAGTTTTCATATGATTATATTTCATTGTTAACAAATTAATGATAATAATTTTTTTATTATAAACAGTTTTTATTTCATTCTAATACAAATGAATATTTTAAAAAATACGATTCTAAATTAATAGACTTCATCAACACTTATTACTTTATGATAATAGCGTTTAGATATTTCATTGATTTTAAGCGATAAATTGTTGTAATTAAATTATAGTGCCAAAATAATTGATCATTGACATGTTAACTTTTAGTCAATGTCACGAAGTAGTTGAGAAAAACATAAAAACTATTCTCATTCAGCTTAACCAATTTTCCATATCTACAAATATGTTAATTATTTGAAACATTGACCTGAAATTTGTTCACAACAGTTACGAAATGTTACATAACAAAAGTTTGTTATTGTTGTTGTAGTGCATGAGTAAAACTGACATTTGAAAAAAAAAAATACCAAAAACTGAACTCGATAATTCTCATAGTTCAATGAGTGTTCCTGTTTAATTATGCACTTGTCTTTTTTCGAAAAAAAATGACAAAAACCAAATTGAACATTGATGT